CACAGACCCTTAGTAGGCTCTGCCTCGCTAATAATTCCAATAATAACCAGTATTTATGAAAATAGTTATGTGAGTGAGGAAAAATTGAAGAAAATCTTAATTAAAATTAAATTAAGAAAATTCAAATTAACATGTAAATTCTGGTAAATTTTCTTAAATTCCTCCTGCTTATTTAAAATGTTATATAATTATAGTCGAACCTCTGTAAAGGCCACCTCCCAACAGTGGCCTTTTCTCAAGAAATTTCTTTTTTTTTAAACAAATTTGTATACAAAATAACCTCCAAACAATGGTCATTTTAAACTATACCTGTCAGTGTCCGTTGTTCAGAGGTTTGACTGCGTTTTTTCTCGTTAAAATATATGATAAAATAAATCTGTGAGCGAAACTAAACTAAGTTACCTTATCACCATTCACAGCCTAGACGATAATTGAGATAATGTAGATATGATACGAAGAGAACAGGAATCTCTTGTTAATTTTCTTTTCGGATTATTTTTTTATTATCTCGGGTTTACTCAAATAATGAGAAAGAAAAAAGAAAACTAAAAAAACGTGTTTCATGACGGGAGGAACATCAGGAACTTCTCACGACCAAATGTTTCGCGGGTGTTATTTCTCCTCGAGACAACTGTTTCCTGCAATGAAATGTCTAATTATATGAAATTTAAATATGAAAAAATGTTTTAATATTAACAAAAATGTTAAAATTAATTTTAAAATTTCGAATAAATTCAGCTTTTTTTCTTTTTACAAATTTAAGCAGCGTTTTTAAGGCTCGAGCCAAGTGTTTACTTTTTAATAATTAAAGAAAATAATTAAAAATTGCTTCAATCGCAACAATTTTACTAATTTTACATAGAAATTAAACGTTTAAATCATTAAAATTGTGAATAAATTAAGATAATTCCCTCTATTTTCTTCCACGTTTATAACACAGAATGTGCCCCTTAATCTATAGAAGAAAATACGGGAAATTATTTTTAAATAATTCGCAATTAATTACAATTAATATTTAAATATGATATTAAACAAAATTAACCTTTTTATAAAGTTAAATTAGCAGACTAATCCAATAGTTTACGTGACTACATCCACGTTAATTCCTCACAGATAATTACTATAAAAGAAAGTTAGATGAAGGCATAGCATGTATATATACTGTATATATATCTGGAATATTTCACGTGATGTCTCATATCACCACATCTACATTCCACAAAACTAACTAAAAATCACAGTACCATTCATCTTCTTCAGGATAGTGGTAAAACTGGAGGTCATATTACTCCATCTACATTGACCCTTTCTTCGTATCCTGTGTATTAACAACCGTCCTTGTGCCTTTTTTTCTGTGTAAATTCTTAGGGAAAAAGACCAGGAATTAAAAAAAAAATTAAAATTCGTCCCCTCTTCAACTGTGTGTCGACCTCCACTGGGGATTTATAAAGGTGGACACGTGACCAAGAGATAGAGTTACAATTCGATGTTTTTCGTGATTTTCGACACCGGAAGTAAGACGAATGTCATACATTAGTTCTATATATTATAAAGGAATATAAGAAATATTCAGAAATTATATTATTTTTTAAATAATTTCTTCGATAATTAATTAATATTAAATTTTATTTGAATTTACACGATTTATTTCACTCTTTAATTTAAAAAAAATATATATATAAAAAATATATGTTTAATATAAAATAATGAGCAAAACACGAATGCCAAGTAGCATAACACCTTTAAAAACACTTATTTTAAAAATTAAATGAATAAAAAACCAATTTAAAAATTGATTAAAGGCTACAAAAATCCCGAAATTTTACTAAAAATTTAAAATTATTTATTTATTTATTTATTATTTTTGAAGGTGTTTAAGTTCTGACGTAATAAATTTAAAACTTTGACACAAAAATGTCAAAGTTTTAAATTTATTACGTCAGAACAGAATAAATTTTTATTGGAAGTTTTAGTTGTCGTACGACTTGAAAAATATACAGAAAATTACAATGAGGAGTAGAAGTGATAAGAGGGGTGGAGGATCATTACGTCACTTAAAATTAATGGAAGCAGCAAGTTGTAGTGTCAAGTTGTGTTAAAGAGCAGATTTATTTGTTGCTACCGATAAACAAGCGAATTAAAAGGAAGATTCTCCTCATGAATCGGATGTGAACTCCTTTTCATTTCTCGGTACAATCTAAATGACCAGCTGACATTTGGTGCTTAGTAATCCTATCTTACTATAATACAGCCGAAACCTCTTTCTCACCGTCTACCGCAGACCCTGTGTTCCGCTTTTTTCCTCTTATCGTGACTGCATGTGGTAGGTCTATTGATCTTTCTAAGGATTTGATTGCCACCCCTCCCTCATAACAAAATTCAATGAACTTCTTAAAAGCGTGTTTCATTTTCTGGTGAGGGAGCTATGGCAAATTCGCAACACTGGCAACATAAGACTCCTCCTTTAGTAACACGAGCTAAACACATGTTTAAGCTTTATAGAAAACGTTTAAATTGTATAAAAATCTATTGATGATAGTGTGTAAGTTCCTCTCTTCCGTCTAGTGTGACGTTAATGTTTTCGCGTCTCGTGCGAGATCGACTCGAGACTACGGGATGGTTGACCTTCGGCACTCACCACATGGCAAACTGTTTTACTTCCCAGGAGAAACTCGTGACATTTAGGACTTCTTTCATTCGGTCTGAGAGGGAAATTATTATTGTTGAAATTTGCTGCAGATTCGTATCTAAATCTTTTCTTACCCATACAATTTACATTATATTAAGATCCTACACACTGTAAAGGGATTTAAAGATGAACGTGTAAGTTTATATATTTATAATTATTGATTTAAGTTTTAAAATTTTACTTTTTTAAATTAAATTTACGTAAGTGTTAAGCTTGTTTATGACGTAACACATAGCTAGTGTTTTTTGTTTTGGTTTCTCGTTTAATTTCGCTTTAATACGTCAAATTTTAAATTTAAAAATTCAAAAATTCGAATTTTTGAATTGTATTATTACGTCAGAACTGTAATTATTTTTATTGGAAGTTTCAGTTTTGAAATTGATACGTTTAAACAAGGAACTGATCAACGACCTTCTGTGAAAAATAAAATTAAACTGGGAAAATTTTCTTAAATATTATTCTTAATGTCCTTGAAGTTAATTATAATAAATCCTTAAATAAATTTATTTTATAAGTTACAATGGTCCCTCGATATAACGAACACGCAAAGGAAAAAGACGAATTATTCACTGTATCAAGAGTTTCCTGTAGCAAAGAACGAATAGGATTGTTCACTATATCGGGTGTTCACTATATCAAGGCACGGCTTTATTTTATTTATATAATAATTTACGATAATATCCTCTTTAAATTATGTAAATAACGCAGTAACTCTATAACTTATAATCTTAATTATATAAATATAAATAATAAAGGTAATTTTTAATTTAAATTGAAAGTTATAACTAACTTCCTGGCTAAGGAAGTCCTTAATTAAGGACTTTTTATACTTTATTTTATTAATTAATAGGAAAACGTCAAAAGAAGTTTACCGTTTTTTAAATAAAATTAACATTGTTACAGTTTAATTATAATTAAAATTAATTATCAGTTAAGGGCGCTACCCTCTAATTATAATTATAATTAGAGGGTAGAGCCCTGACGGGTGTAAACTGAAGAAGGGAAAAGAGTAGAGAGATGAGTTATAATATTAAAAATAATAATGTTGATTATAAATTAATTTTTAAAACGCATTAACCTTAAAGTCCATTAAAACTTTAGCTTCAGATTAGCGTATAATTTATTATTATTATTGTTTTTTTAATGGTGTTTTACAATAGTAATTTTGTAAATTGATTTAATGTACGAAGATATTCGAATGTATCATATTTATATAATAATATAGAAAAAATCATGTCTGGTAAGGGATTAGATTTCATGATTCATCATTGATGATGTTACATGACATCTGACATCATATTTAAATCATAATATATTATTAAAGAGTGTTTTTATGTTATAAACAAAACAAATGAGTTTAGTCTACGGATCACACTTTATTTTCTTCTTTAAATTCAATGTTAACATTATATAAGCACACTAGAATTCATTTTATTTGCTTTAAAGTGATAAATTTTAATCTCAGGAGAGATTACAATGGAGTTAAATATATAATTTAACAGATTCTATGTGTGATTTTGGTAGTTTTTATTCGTATTTAATGAGGTGTTAACAGTGTAAAACAGTCTATACACTAGTTTTTTTGATAGTTTAACACAGTAATAACACTATATTATACTGTTATTTTACACTACAATATAACCAGACCATACGTGTTATTGTGTATATAGATATTTTCCACGTGTTTTAAACTAGTGTTATTTTGAAATTGTATACACAAGAATACTAAGAAGTTTTCAGTTTCTTATAATCAAAACACTAAACTAACACCGAAAATACGTCAAAACAAATCGTGTTTACACACGTTAGAGCACATAACTTACGCGATAACACACCAATTAGTCAAGGGAAAAGACACACACAAGAGAAGGAAACACACAATTTCTTGTGTAATCCTGTCACGTTTTATAAATACGTCAATGCCAAGGTTCAAATTGAGAATTAACAATTAATATATATACGGGATATCTTTAATATATATATATTAAAAATATCCCGTATCAACAGAGAACGTACGTAAAATTAATATGAGATAAGAGAAATTTACTGTTATTGACTTAAGTGTAGGCTCAAAATTTAACTGTAATTATCTGTATACAGTTACTTTGTGATAATTTTATAATATTTTTAAATCAATTTTTGCCGTAATTTTAGGAATTTTAAAGTCTTAAAAAATTCGCTTTACGGCTTAAAACATAATCATAATTTCGACACAATTAAATTTCTCGAATAACATTACAAAAATTTCATTTCTTAACACTTAAATGATTTAATATTTACATCAACAAATTATTTATTTATTTATTTTTAGGTCTTGTCCGTCTCAGAAAGGGACTTCTTGGAAGGAATGGGAGTGTATTTTGTATCATATGTAGGACAATACGGTTACGATAGAGTTCTGTCAGTTCTTGGACGTTATATGCGGGATTTTCTTAACGGTTTGGATAATCTTCACGAGTATCTTAAATTCAGTTATCCACGTATGAAAGCTCCTTCATTCTTCTGTGAAAACGAAACTTCGACCGGTTTGACACTTCATTATCGAAGCACCAGGAAGGGTTTCCTTTGGTACACCATTGGACAGATTAAAGAAGTGGGTAGACATTTCTATAATACGAAAGTTGAAGTGGAAGTATTGAGAATAACCACGAGTTTAGACAATTTACACGTTATGATGCAGTTGACCTTTGATAACAGAGCATTCCAAGCGGAGCAAAAGCATCAAGTGCACAGTGTGGACAGTTTCATGTTACCGGTCAAGGCCTATCTCTTTCTACAGATCTTCCCTTTTTGTATTGTATTCGATCAACATCTGGTCATCAGGACAATCGGTAACAGTCTTCAAGCTGTGATGCCCAATATTATTGGAAGAAAGATCCCTCAAGTGTTCGATTTGACCAGACCTTTAATCGATTATACTTGGAAGGCGGTAAATATATAGGCTATATATATATTATTTTTTAAAAATTAATTCTAGTCACGTGTTATGCTTAACACATGTAATCGGTTCTTGTAATACGTCATAAAACGGGGGATGCAAAATAAAAATTTCTTTTGAAAATTGTATTTTTATGTTACTTCACTGTTACGTTGTTAATTTGAAATCGTATTTTGATGTAAGCAATTTGTAGAAATTGATAAATCGTAATTACTTCCTTATTTATACAGATTTATATTTAAATTAATTAAATCGAAATTAAGTAATAATTACGCATTAAAAATCGAATTAAAAATAGATTATTGCGCTTAATTTTCTTTCTTTTTAAAAAATTTAATTAATCTCTTGAATAATTAAAAAAATCAACTTTATTTTTTCTTTGAATTTATCATGAAATGTTGTAAAAATTGTTCTCATTTAGCAACGTAACATTACAAAATCATGTATACAATCAAGTATTTGGTTTGTATATAACATATATTATATTATATATTATTTCTCAAGGTTTCAGTAGAAAATATTTTAAAATATTTATTAATATTTTTAGATTTTGGGCCACACAAACAATATATTCGAGCTAACGTCAATTGAACCAATCAGAAAGAAAGATAACAACGAAAATCACGTAACACACGTGAGAACTAAATCCGAAATGGAATCATCCGAAGACGAAGAATACGATGATTCGAGTGAGATATTAAATTAAATAATTAAATATAATTAATATTTATTTAATTATCTTGTAATTTAAAGCCTTTCAAAATAAATAAATAAATAATTTTATTACTAGAAAACGAAGATAAACTTCTACTCTTAAAAGGGCAGATGATGTATATGGAAGAATGGAAGAGTATAGTTTATCTCGGGACACCAGTGTGAGTATTAATTAATTGCTTATAATTTTTAATGAAATTTGAATATTTATATATTATAATTAACCTTTAATTGCTTTCAGTATGAGAGATTTGGATGCCATGCTTCATACAGGTCTTTACATTAATGACCTCAGTATGCATGATTTTAGTAGAGATATGGTTTTGGCAGGCCAACAACAATCTGCTGAACTTAAATTAGCATTAGATCAGGTAAATTAAGTTCAAAAGTGTGTTATACAGTTAAACTTTTTAATAATATTTACTTATAATTAATATAAGGCGATAGAAAATGTAAGTAATGTTACATCAATGCGACATTATTTACTATTTTCTGCGTTTTTTGGGAAGTGATTTTTAGGTAATGAATGTTGTAGATAAATTTTAAATTAATTTTTTTATTAATGAATCTTTTGTATATATTCTAACTAATGTACTTTATATATATATATACATTTATATAGGCCTATATACTAGCTTCTGTGCTTGATTCTTTGAAATTCGATATGGTTTGATAATTAAGACTTCAAAGCCATACCGACTTGAAAGATTTAAATTTTCTTGTAATTTTTCTATATAATTTACTTCACGAAATATGCAAAATATATTCCATATAAGCATATGAAGGGATTGATTTATACACCAACTAAACAAGTTACAAATGAGGACCATATGCTACAATTTCATTTAAGCCTCGTGTTTTTAAATTTATAATGGTTTAGTAGGGAGGAATTGCCTCATATGTTAAGAGTTTGAGCCAAAATAAGTGTAAACCTAGTACTGTGTATGTTCACCAATGAAAGAGTGGATAAAACCACTGAAAAGCAGTTGGTCGCGGGTTCGCGCATTACTAACGTGCTGGTCACGTGAAGTTTTTCGGATTATCTTCACGTGTATAACGCTTTAGGGTTCAGTTTCCTGAAGATAGTCTTCCCAGGAGGTACTCCACCCATGGAGTCCATATGTTGCCATGGTCTACCATGGGCAACACCTAATTAAATATTATTCTAACAATTTATAAACGTCACAATTAACAATTGTTAATTTTTATGATTTTAATTATTCATTATTTACCATCTTCCTTAAGGAAGGATAATATACAGTATAATATAAAGCATAAACCTATGAAATTTATTAATTAAAAGTAAAAAGTATAGTAATCTCGTATATCATTATAATTTATTTTTTTATCGGTTTTTATATCATTTTTACTATCGGTTGCGAATAAAAACTTAATTACATTCAGAGAAATTTGAGCATTTTCTCATTTGAGCAAATTATTATAGAAATATTTATTTAAGTCTTTTCTAATGTAAACAATGGATAAATTAGCCTATCAAATGTTTTAATTTGAAATATGACAGCCATTGTATCTTCCAATTCACATAATTTCTCTCTCTAAAAATTCTACCATTGATTACATTACATTAATTAGTAAATTACAGTGAAACCCCTCTAAAAGACTACCTCTCGGAAGTGATCACTCCTTGTAAAGATTACCTTTTCTCGGAACCATTGACGATCTCAAAGTAGAGGTTTTTGATTGAAACCCTCTGAAAGAAAGCTTTTGTTCGGAACCATTGACGATCGCAAAGTAGGGGTTTTACTGTATAACTAATTGAGCAACATGAATGTAAACGTAAACTTATTTCTCAAACTTAATTAATTTATGTTGTAAAAATTATTATAGGAATTACAAAAGAGTAGGCAACTAGAAGAATCGATGAGGAAGTTAGACATTGAGATGAAACGAACTGATGAACTCCTCTATCAGATGATACCCAAACAAGTTGCAGATAGATTAAGAAGAGGAGAAGCTGCTGTAGATACTTGTCAAGTAAATATATTATTTAATTTTAATTTTATGGTAAATTATATGCTAAATGAGTACATTTAATTATTATTTTACAGTACTTTGATTGTGTTACCATTTTATTCAGTGATGTAGTGACATTTACTGAAATTTGTAGTCGTATATCTCCTATGGAAGTTGTATCCATGTTAAATGCTATGTACAGTTTATTTGATCAACTTACTGAAAAACACGGTGTATATAAGGTATGAAATTATGTTTTTAATTATGTTTTATCGAAGTAGAAACAAAATATAAAAGAGTTTTTGCTTGATTATAAAGATAACAGATAAACAGATGACATACTTACGAAATTATGTAATTTAATTTCTATATTATATTACTTTATAACGTCTGGAATTTCATAAAAAATAATATGATGCTACTACACATATTACTCATAGGCATTTTAATTTATTAACATGCAAATTTTTATTTTATATATTTATATTTTGGGTGCATCTTAAATTCGAGCTGCTCCTGAAATTCGAGATTCTTTGCCACTCTTCAAGTCTGTGATGAGGATTTTATATTTTTCTCTTAATTATGTTATATTTTAAAGGCATTATTAACATTTATTTCCTCTTTTACTCCCAATTATTATTCTATTATTCACTGAAAAGTCTTGAATAATACTTCATAAAAGAGATTCGTAGAGTAAATCTAACTTATAAAGAATTATACACACAATATTTTATGAATTTTTTAATTTTAATTCCGAAGACGAGAAAAATGAAAGCTGCAATAAGATTATATACAGCGTTTTATTACAGTGTCGTGCAGTTTTATGTGTTTATATGCTGTTGCTTGCAGTCTATTTCCGAAATAATAAATCCTTATCTCGTGTTGCCATCTGTCTGGTTTTTCTTGAAACAAATTTTCTAATATTTATTAAATTTATTTATTGGAATATAATTTCATTTTAAAATCGAATATTTTCTCAAATTTCTTTTCTTTTTTTAAAGAAATTTTTGAATATTTTTTCCTTAATTCGTATGACACTCCGTCCATAAATTACGCTGTTTTTAAGGGATTAATTATAAGTTTACACACGAGTGAAGACTGAACTATCTTGTTAAAATATATTTAAAAATTATTAATTAATTAACTTAATTGTTACATTCATTATTATTATTGTAGGTAGAAACAATAGGAGATGCTTACATGGTGGTGTCAGGTGCACCCGAACACGATCCTAAACACGCTGAGAAGGTGTGTGACATGGCTTTAGACATGGTCGTCGTTATTGGTGGACTTAAAGACCCTTCTACAGGAAGAAGTTTAAGGATACGTGTTGGTAAGGCTCTGTCAGAACCGTAAAACGGGGGTTTAGTTACTAGAACCTCTGTTTTACGAGCGCGCTTTTAACAAACGGTATAAATATAATGTAATTTAATTTAACGAATTCTTTTTTTGATTTATTTTTTAAATTAATAATTAGGTGTACACTCTGGTGCAGTAGTTGCTGGAGTTGTGGGACTTAAAATGCCAAGGTATTGCTTGTTTGGTGACACAGTTAATACCGCATCCAGAATGGAAAGCACTAGTGATGTAAGTCAATTTTAATCGATTNAAAATCCCGAAATTTTACTAAAAATTTAAAATTATTTATTTATTTATTTATTATTTTTGAAGGTGTTTAAGTTCTGACGTAATAAATTTAAAACTTTGACACAAAAATGTCAAAGTTTTAAATTTATTACGTCAGAACAGAATAAATTTTTATTGGAAGTTTTAGTTTGTCGTACGACTTGAAAAATATACAGAAAATTACAATGAGGAGTAGAAGTGATAAGAGGGGTGGAGGATCATTACGTCACTTAAAATTAATGGAAGCAGCAAGTTGTAGTGTCAAGTTGTGTTAAAGAGCAGATTTATTTGTTGCTACCGATAAACAAGCGAATTAAAAGGAAGATTCTCCTCATGAATCGGATGTGAACTCCTTTTCATTTCTCGGTACAATCTAAATGACCAGCTGACATTTGGTGCTTAGTAATCCTATCTTACTATAACACAGCCGAAACCTCTTTCTCACCGTCTACCGCAGACCCTGTGTTCCGCTTTTTTCCTCTTATCGTGACTGCATGTGGTAGGTCTATTGATCTTTCTAAGGATTTGATTGCCACCCCTCCCTCATAACAAAATTCAATGAACTTCTTAAAAGCGTGTTTCATTTTCTGGTGAGGGAGCTATGGCAAATTCGCAACACTGGCAACATAAGACTCCTCCTTTAGTAACACGAGCTAAACACATGTTTAAGCTTTATAGAAAACGTTTAAATTGTATAAAAATCTATTGACGATAGTGTGTAAGTTCCTCTCTTCCGTCTAGTGTGACGTTAATGTTTTCGCGTCTCGTGCGAGATCGACTCGAGACTACGGGATGGTTGACCTTCGGCACTCACCACATGGCAAACTGTTTTACTTCCCAGGAGAAACTCGTGACATTTAGGACTTCTTTCATTCGGTCTGAGAGGGAAATTATTATTGTTGAAATTTGCTGCAGATTCGTATCTAAATCTTTTCTTACCCATACAATTTACATTATATTAAGATCCTACATACTGTAAAGAGATTTAAAGATGAACGTGTAAGTTTATATATTTATAATTATTGATTTAAGTTTTAAAATTTTACTTTTTTAAATTAAATTTACGTAAGTGTTAAGCTTGTTTATGACGTAACACATAGCTAGTGTTTTTTGTTTTGGTTTCTCGTTTAATTTCGCTTTAATACGTCAAATTTTAAATTTAAAAATTCAAAAATTCGAATTTTTGAATTGTATTATTACGTCAGAACTGTAATTATTTTTATTGGAAGTTTCAGTTTTGAAATTGATACGTTTAAACAAGGAACTGATCAACGACCTTCTGTGAAAAATAAAATTAAACTGGGAAAATTTTCTTAAATATTATTCTTAATGTCCTTGAAGTTAATTATAATAAATCCTTAAATAAATTTATTTTATAAGTTACAATGGTCCCTCGATATAACGAACACGCAAAGGAAAAAGACGAATTATTCACTGTATCAAGAGTTTCCTGTAGCAAAGAACGAATAGGATTGTTCACTATATCGGGTGTTCACTATATCAAGGCACGGCTTTATTTTATTTATATAATAATATAGAAAAAATCATGTCTGGTAAGGGATTAGATTTCATGATTCATCATTGATGATGTTACATGACATCTGACATCATATTTAAATCATAATATATTATTAAAGAGTGTTTTTATGTTATAAACAAAACAAATGAGTTTAGTCTACGGATCACACTTTATTTTCTTCTTTAAATTCAATGTTAACATTATATAAGCACACTAGAATTCATTTTATTTGCTTTAAAGTGATAAATTTTAATCTCAGGAGAGATTACAATGGAGTTAAATATATAATTTAACAGATTCTATGTGTGATTTTGGTAGTTTTTATTCGTATTTAATGAGGTGTTAACAGTGTAAAACAGTCTATACACTAGTTTTTTTGATAGTTTAACACAGTAATAACACTATATTATACTGTTATTTTACACTACAATATAACCAGACCATACGTGTTATTGTGTATATAGATATTTTCCACGTGTTTTAAACTAGTGTTATTTTGAAATTGTATACACAAGAATACTAAGAAGTTTTCAGTTTCTTATAATCAAAACACTAAACTAACACCGAAAATACGTCAAAACAAATCGTGTTTACACACGTTAGAGCACATAACTTACGCGATAACACACCAATTAGTCAAGGGAAAAGACACACACAAGAGAAGGAAACACACAATTTCTTGTGTAATCCTGTCACGTTTTATAAATACGTCAATGCCAAGGTTCAAATTGAGAATTAACAATTAATATATATACGGGATATCTTTAATATATATATATTAAAAATATCCCGTATCAACAGAGAACGTACGTAAAATTAATATGAGATAAGAGAAATTTACTGTTATTGACTTAAGTGTAGGCTCAAAATTTAACTGTAATTATCTGTATACAGTTACTTTGTGATAATTTTATAATATTTTTAAATCAATTTTTGCCGTAATTTTAGGAATTTTAAAGTCTTAAAAAATTCGCTTTACGGCTTAAAACATAATCATAATTTCGACACAATTAAATTTCTCGAATAACATTACAAAAATTTCATTTCTTAACACTTAAATGATTTAATATTTACATCAACAAATTATTTATTTATTTATTTTTAGGTCTTGTCCGTCTCAGAAAGGGACTTCTTGGAAGGAATGGGAGTGTATTTTGTATCATATGTAGGACAATACGGTTACGATAGAGTTCTGTCAGTTCTTGGACGTTATATGCGGGATTTTCTTAACGGTTTGGATAATCTTCACGAGTATCTTAAATTCAGTTATCCACGTATGAAAGCTCCTTCATTCTTCTGTGAAAACGAAACTTCGACCGGTTTGACACTTCATTATCGAAGCACCAGGAAGGGTTTCCTTTGGTACACCATTGGACAGATTAAAGAAGTGGGTAGACATTTCTATAATACGAAAGTTGAAGTGGAAGTATTGAGAATAACCACGAGTTTAGACAATTTACACGTTATGATGCAGTTGACCTTTGATAACAGAGCATTCCAAGCGGAGCAAAAGCATCAAGTGCACAGTGTGGACAGTTTCATGTTACCGGTCAAGGCCTATCTCTTTCTACAGATCTTCCCTTTTTGTATTGTATTCGATCAACATCTGGTCATCAGGACAATCGGTAACAGTCTTCAAGCTGTGATGCCCAATATTATTGGAAGAAAGATCCCTCAAGTGTTCGATTTGACCAGACCTTTAATCGATTATACTTGGAAGGCGGTAAATATATAGGCTATATATATATTATTTTTTAAAAATTAATTCTAGTCACGTGTTATGCTTAACACATGTAATCGGTTCTTGTAATACGTCATAAAACGGGGGATGCAAAATAAAAATTTCTTTTGAAAATTGTATTTTTATGTTACTTCACTGTTACGTTGTTAATTTGAAATCGTATTTTGATGTAAGCAATTTGTAGAAATTGATAAATCGTAATTACTTCCTTATTTATACAGATTTATATTTAAATTAATTAAATCGAAATTAAGTAATAATTACGCATTAAAAATCGAATTAAAAATAGATTATTGCGCTTAATTTTCTTTCTTTTTAAAAAATTTAATTAATCTCTTGAATAATTAAAAAAATCAACTTTATTTTTTCTTTGAATTTATCATGAAATGTTGTAAAAATTGTTCTCATTTAGCAACGTAACATTACAAAATCATGTATACAATCAAGTATTTGGTTTGTATATAACATATATTATATTATATATTATTTCTCAAGGTTTCAGTAGAAAATATTTTAAAATATTTATTAATATTTTTAGATTTTGGGCCACACAAACAATATATTCGAGCTAACGTCAATTGAACCAATCAGAAAGAAAGATAACAACGAAAATCACGTAACACACGTGAGAACTAAATCCGAAATGGAATCATCCGAAGACGAAGAATACGATGATTCGAGTGAGATATTAAATTAAATAATTAAATATAATTAATATTTATTTAATTATCTTGTAATTTAAAGCCTTTCAAAATAAATAAATAAATAATTTTATTACTAGAAAACGAAGATAAACTTCTACTCTTAAAAGGGCAGATGATGTATATGGAAGAATGGAAGAGTATAGTTTATCTCGGGACACCAGTGTGAGTATTAATTAATTGCTTATAATTTTTAATGAAATTTGAATATTTATATATTATAATTAACCTTTAATTGCTTTCAGTATGAGAGATTTGGATGCCATGCTTCATACAGGTCTTTACATTAATGACCTCAGTATGCATGATTTTAGTAGAGATATGGTTTTGGCAGGCCAACAACAATCTGCTGAACTTAAATTAGCATTAGATCAGGTAAATTAAGTTCAAAAGTGTGTTATACAGTTAAACTTTTTAATAATATTTACTTATAATTAATATAAGGCGATAGAAAATGTAAGTAATGTTACATCAATGCGACATTATTTACTATTTTCTGCGTTTTTTGGGAAGTGATTTTTAGGTAATGAATGTTGTAGATAAATTTTAAATTAATTTTTTTATTAATGAATCTTTTGTATATATTCTAACTAATGTACTTTATATATATATATACATTTATATAGGCCTATATACTAGCTTCTGTGCTTGATTCTTTGAAATTCGATATGGTTTGATAATTAAGACTTCAAAGCCATACCGACTTGAAAGATTTAAATTTTCTTGTAATTTTTCTATATAATTTACTTCACGAAATATGCAAAATATATTCCATATAAGCATATGAAGGGATTGATTTATACACCAACTAAACAAGTTACAAATGAGGACCATATGCTACAATTTCATTTAAGCCTCGTGTTTTTAAATTTATAATGGTTTAGTAGGGAGGAATTGCCTCATATGTTAAGAGTTTGAGCCAAAATAAGTGTAAACCTAGTACTGTGTATGTTCACCAATGAAAGAGTGGATAAAACCACTGAAAAGCAGTTGGTCGCGGGTTCGCGCATTACTAACGTGCTGGTCACGTGAAGTTTTTCGGATTATCTTCACGTGTATAACGCTTTAGGGTTCAGTTTCCTGAAGATAGTCTTCCCAGGAGGTACTCCACCCATGGAGTCCATATGTTGCCATGGTCTACCATGGGCAACACCTAATTAAATATTATTCTAACAATTTATAAACGTCACAATTAACAATTGTTAATTTTTATGATTTTAATTATTCATTATTTACCATCTTCCTTAAGGAAGGATAATATACAGTATAATATAAAGCATAAACCTATGAAATTTATTAATTAAAAGTAAAAAGTATAGTAATCTCGTATATCATTATAATTTATTTTTTTATCGGTTTTTATATCATTTTTACTATCGGTTGCGAATAAAAACTTAATTACATTCAGAGAAATTTGAGCATTTTCTCATTTGAGCAAATTATTATAGAAATATTTATTTAAGTCTTTTCTAATGTAAACAATGGATAAATTAGCCTATCAAATGTTTTAATTTGAAATATGACAGCCATTGTATCTTCCAATTCACATAATTTCTCTCTCTAAAGATTCTACCATTGATTACATTACATTAATTAGTAAATTACAGTGAAACCCCTCTAAAAGACTACCTCTCGGAAGTGATCACTCCTTGTAAAGATTACCTTTTCTCGGAACCATTGACGATCTCAAAGTAGAGGTTTTTGATTGAAACCCTCTGAAAGAAAGCTTTTGTTCGGAACCATTGACGATCGCAAAGTAGGGGTTTTACTGTATAACTAATTGAGCAACATGAATGTAAACGTAAACTTATTTCTCAAACTTAATTAATTTATGTTGTAAAAATTATTATAGGAATTACAAAAGAGTAGGCAACTAGAAGAATCGATGAGGAAGTTAGACATTGAGATGAAACGAACTGATGAACTCCTCTATCAGATGATACCCAAACAAGTTGCAGATAGATTAAGAAGAGGAGAAGCTGCTGTAGATACTTGTCAAGTAAATATATTATTTAATTTTAATTTTATGGTAAATTATATGCTAAATGAGTACATTTAATTATTATTTTACAGTACTTTGATTGTGTTACCATTTTATTCAGTGATGTAGTGACATTTACTGAAATTTGTAGTCGTATATCTCCTATGGAAGTTGTATCCATGTTAAATGCTATGTACAGTTTATTTGATCAACTTACTGAAAAACACGGTGTATATAAGGTATGAAATTATGTTTTTAATTATGTTTTATCGAAGTAGAAACAAAATATAAAAGAGTTTTTGCTTGATTATAAAGATAACAGATAAACAGATGACATACTTACGAAATTATGTAATTTAATTTCTATATTATATTACTTTATAACGTCTGGAATTTCATAAAAAATAATATGATGCTACTACACATATTACTCATAGGCATTTTAATTTATTAACATGCAAATTTTTATTTTATATATTTATATTTTGGGTGCATCTTAAATTCGAGCTGCTCCTGAAATTCGAGATTCTTTGCCACTCTTCAAGTCTGTGATGAGGATTTTATATTTTTCTCTTAATTATGTTATATTTTAAAGGCATTATTAACATTTATTTCCTCTTTTACTCCCAATTATTATTCTATTATTCACTGAAAAGTCTTGAATAATACTTCATAAAAGAGATTCGTAGAGTAAATCTAACTTATAAAGAATTATACACACAATATTTTATGAATTTTTTAATTTTAATTCCGAAGACGAGAAAAATGAAAGCTGCAATAAGATTATATACAGCGTTTTATTACAGTGTCGTGCAGTTTTATGTGTTTATATGCTGTTGCTTGCAGTCTATTTCCGAAATAATAAATCCTTATCTCGTGTTGCCATCTGTCTGGTTTTTCTTGAAACAAATTTTCTAATATTTATTAAATTTATTTATTGGAATATAATTTCATTTTGAAATCGAATATTTTCTCAAATTTCTTTTCTTTTTTTAAAGAAATTTTTGAATATTTTTTCCTTAATTCGTATGACACTCCGTCCATAAATTACGCTGTTTTTAAGGGATTAATTATAAGTTTACACACGAGTGAAGACTGAACTATCTTGTTAAAATATATTTAAAAATTATTAATTAATTAACTTAATTGTTACATTCATTATTATTATTGTAGGTAGAAACAATAGGAGATGCTTACATGGTGGTGTCAGGTGCACCCGAACACGATCCTAAACACGCTGAGAAGGTGTGTGACATGGCTTTAGACATGGTCGTCGTTATTGGTGGACTTAAAGACCCTTCTACAGGAAGAAGTTTAAGGATACGTGTTGGTAAGGCTCTGTCAGAACCGTAAAACGGGGGTTTAGTTACTAGAACCTCTGTTTTACGAGCGCGCTTTTAACAAACGGTATAAATATAATGTAATTTAATTTAACGAATTCTTTTTTTGATTTATTTTTTAAATTAATAATTAGGTGTACACTCTGGTGCAGTAGTTGCTGGAGTTGTGGGACTTAAAATGCCAAGGTATTGCTTGTTTGGTGACACAGTTAATACCGCATCCAGAATGGAAAGCACTAGTGATGTAAGTCAATTTTAATCGATTAATTAACTTGATTAATTTGTAAACATTATTATAATAAATTAATGATAATTAAATACGATCTTCTTTTCAATTAAAGTAATTTTATAAAAATTAAATCTTATTAATTACTATTTCCTTCATAGGAAACGTCATAAGTGAGGAAATGGATATTTCTTTCCAAATTTTGACATGAATATTAATTTTTGAAGGGCTAAAATAATAATTCAATTTAATTAATTTTGTTATTAATATTTTAAATTTAAAAATATCAGCGACGATAACTTAATTTACAGGTATCATTTTGATTTATAGCTGGACTTATGCACCATTATTTAAAAGATCTTTAATGTACGCCTCTAAAATTTATTAATATAATTAATTATTTTTAATCTTTATGTAGTATAATTGTCAATAATAAAATGTTTATTAATTACTTTAAGGCGCTGAAAATTCATATAAGCGAACGAACCAAAGAGCTCTTGAATTCGGAAGAATGGGATATTTCAGATAGAGGAACAATCCCCGTAAAGGTATGTTATATACTGAATATAGTCTATAATTTATTATTTATGAATTTTTCAAAAAAATCTATGCTACAGTCACGAGGTATGGAGTATGTAGTATAATTGTCAATAATAAAATGTTTATTAATTACTTTAAGGCGCTGAAAATTCATATAAGCGAACGAACCAAAGAGCTCTTGAATTCGGAAGAATGGGATATTTCAGATAGAGGAACAATCCCCGTAAAGGTATGTTATATACTGAATATAGTCTATAATTTATTATTTATGAATTTTTCAAAAAAATCTATGCTACAGTCACGAGGTATGGAGTTCGAATTATCTTTTTTTTTAGAACGGATTTGAATGCGGACTCTCATGTTGGCAAGGAAGATACTTATATAATTCTATTAGTAATGCGCGCCATGACTGAGCATCACTGAACAGAAAACTTTTGTGTTTCTTGAAATATTATTATATAATTACATATTATTCTACGGCCCATTTACTAAAATTGTATTTAGAACATAATACACAAGAAATAAGAAATTAAACCCAATTTATTTTTATTATAATTCTTTGTTACTGTTTTTCACAAATGTGAAGGATGTTTTCTTCATTATTTCTTCGTTTTTACGTTTATTTCATTGTTACCATTCGTTTATACAAGTTTCTGTCACGAGAAACTAGTGGTGGATTTATTGTTTTCTATCCTTCATGACATTTGTAAGTGCTTCTTATAATTTGTAGCTTTTCGCCATACTGAACTACTATATCCTTATAGTAAAACTGTTGTTTTATGTAATTACAAATTTCTATTCATTTTTTATGTTTTCCCATTCCCTATATCTGCTCAGTACCTTCTCTCCTCTTTCTTATCTTCTCTCTCTCTTATTCTCTCACTCTTTTCCTTGTTTTCAGTATTAGACTACCCTTTGAATACCTATTAATAATGATATTACACTACATTCCATTATTTTACGTTAGGCTAATGATATTTTTCCAAAATTTATGCAGAATTTATTTAATAAAATTGAATTTATCTATAAGTAATTAAACTAAATTGCACGAGTAAAATGTATCTTTTTATTCCATTGAAAGCTTCTCCATAAAATTGATCATCCTTGTAAACATTTGGAGGTTGCTTCTTTGAAGATTTTAAAAATTATTTCTGCAAAAATGCCGTCTTAAATTAGCTTTATTAAATTTAATTTATTAGAATCTCGTTTCTAAATCATAAATTAAATTCGTAGCGTAAATTTAAGACAGAGCTTCGGAAACAAATTTATATAATAATTTAACAATCTTTAATTATGTCTCACGCTAATATTAGCCACACAATAATAAAATCTTTACATATTTAAATAAGTCTAATGTAAGTGTAAAGTTGAAATGTCTGCTTATTAAGGAAACCGAGTAATTTATTAATAAACATATAGAAAAATATGCAGCTTTTACTAGGACCTCATCAGCTACCAAAGAACAATACATTTGAATAATGGAGTAACTAGAACTGATACTGGGGGGCCTGAATTAGAACGTACAAATCTATATACACCCCTGTAACCTGTTGATATGGCAGCTCCAGTTGCTATATCCCAAATTGTACAGGGTTCTTTGAATCTAGTATTCCTTCCTCTAATTTTCTAATTGACAGTCGATACGGGCATTGAGAGAGCCGTGTTGTCTAGAATGTTTATAGAATATATAAATATACACCTGTTCTAGACCAGAGAGATTGGACACTATTTCCTTAATTCATAAATTAAGACAGAGAATAGGTTGATAGATATGATACCTATGAGTTTACCGTCCTCTGGAGATTTATCAAAATATTAGTAAAGTCAATCAAGGACTTGCTGGTCAGAATATAAATATAATATTAAATTAATTTGTTGATACGTTGATGACCTGCTTATAAATTGTCTAATGGACAGTGCATTAACGATTTTATGGAGGAAATCAATTTGAGCGATGCAGATTCTAATTACTTTATTACAGATTCTAATTTAAGAAACTAATCATTAGACAATATTAAGCATGGTATCGACAAATTAACTGAATATTATATTATATTTAGACACCTTCAGGTCCTCAACTGACTCTACCATTTCTACTAAGTCTCCAGAAAACGATAAGAGATTTATATTTATGTTCTATGTATTTATTAAGTATAAAAGGTTGAGCGACTTCTAAGAGTCCTTCACTCAAAGCTAGTGGCATGGTCCTTAGAAGTCTCTCTATCTAGGAGAGACCTTACTATTTACTCAAGAGAAGAGATCCAAACTACTTATTCTTTGATACTTCCTGTATAATAAGAAAACAAAGCAGCGTTAAAAAGTCGTATTTTATCCTTTAAATAATAAAATTTGAGGAAAAATAAAAGCCCCTTTCCCAAATAGGCCTATACAAATGCATAGTGGGATGAATAATCTATAACAAATGTTTCGTAAATGTGAGGCCCCAGCAAAGTTTTTCCTGTTTAGTTAAATATAAGTTTTCATTTTATAAACTAAGTTTTTTAAAGTTATATAAATGTTTATCGTTTCAGGGGAAAGGTCAAATGAAGACTTACTGGTTGCATTCACGTAGAGGGAAGTCTAGAGATGTAGACAATCGTCCAAAACCGAGCGATCCCGAATTGAAAATAATCAATTCAGACGACAGCAAAGACTGCAGACCATGGTATTCTCCAGTAACTTTCGAAGAAGTTGCAAAACATTCTCCAGTTAGTTCACCACCGAATTCTCCAACGAATGTCTCGAGTGATCCACCGGAAGTACCATACGTAAGTAGAAGAGGGAGCTCATCAAAAACAGCACAATTAAATCAAATGCCACCGTCGCCATTTTATCAGACTAACCAATCGAGTGGGATTTTACAGAAACTAGGAAAGTTTAAATTCACCGGCAAATCGTACGATACGAAACAGGCGTGGAATTCGGGACCTCTATTGATAAATGGCAACTTACAGAATAAAAATACGAGTAAATATCCTTGTTGCCATCATTGCCCCGTAGCATCGAATGGAGAAAGAAATCAGCAATCTTTTAATTATCTAGCGGAGCCTCACGTGAAAAGTAAATCATCGAAGAAGACACTCAACGGTGTTAGTTTCTGCCCTAAGATAAGAGAGACTAATTGTTGCAGCAGTTCAAATTCCAGAGGACACGTTAAAAGTCATACTTGCAGCATTCTTTGAGCGTCATCTGCTGATTATTTTCCATGAAAAAAATTTACATTATCTTCAGTATTTACAGACGAGTGATACAAGATACAAATTCTTAATGATTTCATTTAATTATTATTTTTTTTTTTCCATAAAGAAAATGAACGTGTTGTGTGCAATAACTGAGAAAATGGATATATTGAAACTGAAACTCTTCGAATGTTCCAGTTATTTTGATATATTTTATATTCAATTTCTGATAATTTTCCCTCGAAAATGGAAGTTTCTTTAAGAATTATCAATAATATAAATCAAGAAAATAAGTTGGTGCCAAAGAATAATGAAAGAACAANAAATTACTAGCGCGCAAAAATATTTTAAATTTCTGATACCAGATTGACCAGTTATGAGCTAAATTTCCTTCTAATAATAACGATGGAACTGGATTGCCGGATAGTTCCTGTTGACCACTTAAACGGGATAAAGTTAAAGATGGCTGACCTGCGTTACTGACCGGTGAACTCATTATTTCGAGCTGCTGCTAGTAGGAAAACGACGACGACGACTATAATTCTGACACCATGTTATATTATATGTTGTATAATGCACAAGACTGACAAAACTTAAATTATTATTTATTACTACTAAAGAGGAGACACTCGTTATGGACTGTATGACAGACGACAGACGACTTTCGTTTTTTGTTGGCCGCTATGTGTCGCCACCAGTACATATCGTAACAGAAAGATGACAATGGGAATGTACACGTCTGCAATTTCAAAATTGCAGTCCAATAACTAAATTGTTTTTTTATATAGTTTAACAGTTTATTTACCGCGAAACGTGTGTAAAAACTACGTCACAGAGGAAGGCCCTTCGAGAGGAGAGAGATAAATCACAAATTTTTTAATTTATTTACATGAAGAATGCCATAATATCATTCTTGTATGCAAATTTAATTATTTGCCATGTTGAATGAGTATGTAAGCTTACTTAATACTCAGATATGTTGCTTACTGTGACATGACTACAGCTTGATTTCAAGCTATGAACTTGTTTTCTAGTGACGCCTTCCATTAACAAGAAGGCCTGTTCTTTGTTGAGGTATTAAAAAATAATAATAAATTCGCGTTTTTAAGATATAAATTTTTCTTAATTTGTAGATAATAAATTTACATTTGATAATAAAAAATTTATACTTATTTATCTGAATATTTTAATAATTAAAGTTGGAAAAAATAATAATAATAATTCGAGAGTTTTGAAGATTTAAAAAGCATATTTTTTTGGCAATTATTAATTATATATTAAGAATTTATATAATTAAATAAAGAAATATATTTACAAAAAATGGCATTTTATAATTATTATATTATTATAAAATAGAATATGTAAATTATAATTTTTTTAATTGTTATTTTGATAGCAGGGATATAATTTGTGATGGTTTAAAGAATAAAAATTGTCTCCAAACTACAAAANTAATGTACTTTATATATATATACATTTATATAGGCCTATATACTAGCTTCTGTGCTTGATTCTTTGAAATTCGATATGGTTTGATAATTAAGACTTCAAAGCCATACCGACTTGAAAGATTTAAATTTTCTTGTAATTTTTCTATATAATTTACTTCACGAAATATGCAAAATATATTCCATATAAGCATATGAAGGGATTGATTTATACACCAACTAAACAAGTTACAAATGAGGACCATATGCTACAATTTCATTTAAGCCTCGTGTTTTTAAATTTATAATGGTTTAGTAGGGAGGAATTGCCTCATATGTTAAGAGTTTGAGCCAAAATAAGTGTAAACCTAGTGCTGTGTATGTTCACCAATGGGAGAGTGGATAAAACCACTGAAAAGCAGTTGGTCGCGGGTTCGCGCATTACTAACGTGCTGGTCACGTGAAGTTTTTCGGATTATCTTCACGTGTATAACGCTTTAGGGTTCAGTTTCCTGAAGATAGTCTTCCCAGGAGGTACTCCACCCATGGAGTCCATATGTTGCCATGGTCTACCATGGGCAACACCTAATTAAATATTATTCTAACAATTTATAAACGTCACAATTAACAATTGTTAATTTTTATGATTTTAATTATTCATTATTTACCATCTTCCTTAAGGAAGGATAATATACAGTATAATATAAAATCCTGTCACGTTTTATAAATACGTCAATGCCAAGGTTCAAATTGAGAATTAACAATTAATATATATACGGGATATCTTTAATATATATATATTAAAAATATCCCGTATCAACAGAGAACGTACGTAAAATTAATATGAGATAAGAGAAATTTACTGTTATTGACTTAAGTGTAGGCTCAAAATTTAACTGTAATTATCTGTATACAGTTACTTTGTGATAATTTTATAATATTTTTAAATCAATTTTTGCCGTAATTTTAGGAATTTTAAAGTCTTAAAAAATTCGCTTTACGGCTTAAAACATAATCATAATTTCGACACAATTAAATTTCTCGAATAACATTACAAAAATTTCATTTCTTAACACTTAAATGATTTAATATTTACATCAACAAATTATTTATTTATTTATTTTTAGGTCTTGTCCGTCTCAGAAAGGGACTTCTTGGAAGGAATGGGAGTGTATTTTGTATCATATGTAGGACAATACGGTTACGATAGAGTTCTGTCAGTTCTTGGACGTTATATGCGGGATTTTCTTAACGGTTTGGATAATCTTCACGAGTATCTTAAATTCAGTTATCCACGTATGAAAGCTCCTTCATTCTTCTGTGAAAACGAAACTTCGACCGGTTTGACACTTCATTATCGAAGCACCAGGAAGGGTTTCCTTTGGTACACCATTGGACAGATTAAAGAAGTGGGTAGACATTTCTATAATACGAAAGTTGAAGTGGAAGTATTGAGAATAACCACGAGTTTAGACAATTTACACGTTATGATGCAGTTGACCTTTGATAACAGAGCATTCCAAGCGGAGCAAAAGCATCAAGTGCACAGTGTGGACAGTTTCATGTTACCGGTCAAGGCCTATCTCTTTCTACAGATCTTCCCTTTTTGTATTGTATTCGATCAACATCTGGTCATCAGGACAATCGGTAACAGTCTTCAAGCTGTGATGCCCAATATTATTGGAAGAAAGATCCCTCAAGTGTTCGATTTGACCAGACCTTTAATCGATTATACTTGGAAGGCGGTAAATATATAGGCTATATATATATTATTTTTTAAAAATTAATTCTAGTCACGTGTTATGCTTAACACATGTAATCGGTTCTTGTAATACGTCATAAAACGGGGGATGCAAAATAAAAATTTCTTTTGAAAATTGTATTTTTATGTTACTTCACTGTTACGTTGTTAATTTGAAATCGTATTTTGATGTAAGCAATTTGTAGAAATTGATAAATCGTAATTACTTCCTTATTTATACAGATTTATATTTAAATTAATTAAATCGAAATTAAGTAATAATTACGCATTAAAAATCGAATTAAAAATAGATTATTGCGCTTAATTTTCTTTCTTTTTAAAAAATTTAATTAATCTCTTGAATAATTAAAAAAATCAACTTTATTTTTTCTTTGAATTTATCATGAAATGTTGTAAAAATTGTTCTCATTTAGCAACGTAACATTACAAAATCATGTATACAATCAAGTATTTGGTTTGTATATAACATATATTATATTATATATTATTTCTCAAGGTTTCAGTAGAAAATATTTTAAAATATTTATTAATATTTTTAGATTTTGGGCCACACAAACAATATATTCGAGCTAACGTCAATTGAACCAATCAGAAAGAAAGATAACAACGAAAATCACGTAACACACGTGAGAACTAAATCCGAAATGGAATCATCCGAAGACGAAGAATACGATGATTCGAGTGAGATATTAAATTAAATAATTAAATATAATTAATATTTATTTAATTATCTTGTAATTTAAAGCCTTTCAAAATAAATAAATAAATAATTTTATTACTAGAAAACGAAGATAAACTTCTACTCTTAAAAGGGCAGATGATGTATATGGAAGAATGGAAGAGTATAGTTTATCTCGGGACACCAGTGTGAGTATTAATTAATTGCTTATAATTTTTAATGAAATTTGAATATTTATATATTATAATTAACCTTTAATTGCTTTCAGTATGAGAGATTTGGATGCCATGCTTCATACAGGTCTTTACATTAATGACCTCAGTATGCATGATTTTAGTAGAGATATGGTTTTGGCAGGCCAACAACAATCTGCTGAACTTAAATTAGCATTAGATCAGGTAAATTAAGTTCAAAAGTGTGTTATACAGTTAAACTTTTTAATAATATTTACTTATAATTAATATAAGGCGATAGAAAATGTAAGTAATGTTACATCAATGCGACATTATTTACTATTTTCTGCGTTTTTTGGGAAGTGATTTTTAGGTAATGAATGTTGTAGATAAATTTTAAATTAATTTTTTTATTAATGAATCTTTTGTATATATTCTAACTAATGTACTTTATATATATATACATTTATATAGGCCTATATACTAGCTTCTGTGCTTGATTCTTTGAAATTCGATATGGTTTGATAATTAAGACTTCAAAGCCATACCGACTTGAAAGATTTAAATTTTCTTGTAATTTTTCTATATAATTTACTTCACGAAATATGCAAAATATATTCCATATAAGCATATGAAGGGATTGATTTATACACCAACTAAACAAGTTACAAATGAGGACCATATGCTACAATTTCATTTAAGCCTCGTGTTTTTAAATTTATAATGGTTTAGTAGGGAGGAATTGCCTCATATGTTAAGAGTTTGAGCCAAAATAAGTGTAAACCTAGTACTGTGTATGTTCACCAATGGGAGAGTGGATAAAACCACTGAAAAGCAGTTGGTCGCGGGTTCGCGCATTACTAACGTGCTGGTCACGTGAAGTTTTTCGGATTATCTTCACGTGTATAACGCTTTAGGGTTCAGTTTCCTGAAGATAGTCTTCCCAGGAGGTACTCCACCCATGGAGTCCATATGTTGCCATGGTCTACCATGGGCAACACCTAATTAAATATTATTCTAACAATTTATAAACGTCACAATTAACAATTGTTAATTTTTATGATTTTAATTATTCATTATTTACCATCTTCCTTAAGGAAGGATAATATACAGTATAATATAAAGCATAAACCTATGAAATTATTAATTAAAAGTAAAAAGTATAGTAATCTCGTATATCATTATAATTTATTTTTTTATCGGTTTTTATATCAGTTTTTCTATCGGTTGCGAATAAAAACTTAATTACATTCAGAGAAATTTGAGCATTTTCTCATTTGAGCAAATTATTATGGAAATATTTATTTAAGCCTTTTCTAATGTAAACAATGGATAAATTAGCCTATCAAATGTTCTAATTTGAAATATGACAGCCATTGTATCTTCCAATTCACATAATTTCTCTCTCTAAAAATTCTACCATTGATTACATTACATTAATTAGTAAATTACAGTGAAACCCCTCTAAAAGACTACCTCTCGGAAGTGATCACTCCTTGTAAAGATTACCTTTTCTCGGAACCATTGACGATCTCAAAGTAGAGGTTTTTGATTGAAACCCTCTGAAAGAAAGCTTTTGTTCGGAACCATTGACGATCGCAAAGTAGGGGTTTTACTGTATAACTAATTGAGCAACATGAATGTAAACGTAAACTTATTTCTCAAACTTAATTAATTTATGTTGTAAAAATTATTATAGGAATTACAAAAGAGTAGGCAACTAGAAGAATCGATGAGGAAGTTAGACATTGAGATGAAACGAACTGATGAACTCCTCTATCAGATGATACCCAAACAAGTTGCAGATAGATTAAGAAGAGGAGAAGCTGCTGTAGATACTTGTCAAGTAAATATATTATTTAATTTTAATTTTATGGTAAATTATATGCTAAATGAGTACATTTAATTATTATTTTACAGTACTTTGATTGTGTTACCATTTTATTCAGTGATGTAGTGACATTTACTGAAATTTGTAGTCGTATATCTCCTATGGAAGTTGTATCCATGTTAAATGCTATGTACAGTTTATTTGATCAACTTACTGAAAAACACGGTGTATATAAGGTATGAAATTATGTTTTTAATTATGTTTTATCGAAGTAGAAACAAAATATAAAAGAGTTTTTGCTTGATTATAAAGATAACAGATAAACAGATGACATACTTACGAAATTATGTAATTTAATTTCTATATTATATTACTTTATAACGTCTGGAATTTCATAAAAAATAATATGATGCTACTACACATATTACTCATAGGCATTTTAATTTATTAACATGCAAATTTTTATTTTATATATTTATATTTTGGGTGCATCTTAAATTCGAGCTGCTCCTGAAATTCGAGATTCTTTGCCACTCTTCAAGTCTGTGATGAGGATTTTATATTTTTCTCTTAATTATGTTATATTTTAAAGGCATTATTAACATTTATTTCCTCTTTTACTCCCAATTATTATTCTATTATTCACTGAAAAGTCTTGAATAATACTTCATAAAAGAGATTCGTAGAGTAAATCTAACTTATAAAGAATTATACACACAATATTTTATGAATTTTTTAATTTTAATTCCGAAGACGAGAAAAATGAAAGCTGCAATAAGATTATATACAGCGTTTTATTACAGTGTCGTGCAGTTTTATGTGTTTATATGCTGTTGCTTGCAGTCTATTTCCGAAATAATAAATCCTTATCTCGTGTTGCCATCTGTCTGGTTTTTCTTGAAACAAATTTTCTAATATTTATTAAATTTATTTATTGGAATATAATTTCATTTTAAAATCGAATATTTTCTCAAATTTCTTTTCTTTTTTTAAAGAAATTTTTGAATATTTTTTCCTTAATTCGTATGACACTCCGTCCATAAATTACGCTGTTTTTAAGGGATTAATTATAAGTTTACACACGAGTGAAGACTGAACTATCTTGTTAAAATATATTTAAAAATTATTAATTAATTAACTTAATTGTTACATTCATTATTATTATTGTAGGTAGAAACAATAGGAGATGCTTACATGGTGGTGTCAGGTGCACCCGAACACGATCCTAAACACGCTGAGAAGGTGTGTGACATGGCTTTAGACATGGTCGTCGTTATTGGTGGACTTAAAGACCCTTCTACAGGAAGAAGTTTAAGGATACGTGTTGGTAAGGCTCTGTCAGAACCGTAAAACGGGGGTTTAGTTACTAGAACCTCTGTTTTACGAGCGCGCTTTTAACAAACGGTATAAATATAATGTAATTTAATTTAACGAATTCTTTTTTTGATTTATTTTTTAAATTAATAATTAGGTGTACACTCTGGTGCAGTAGTTGCTGGAGTTGTGGGACTTAAAATGCCAAGGTATTGCTTGTTTGGTGACACAGTTAATACCGCATCCAGAATGGAAAGCACTAGTGATGTAAGTCAATTTTAATCGATTAATTAACTTGATTAATTTGTAAACATTATTATAATAAATTAATGATAATTAAATACGATCTTCTTTTCAATTAAAGTAATTTTATAAAAATTAAATCTTATTAATTACTATTTCCTTCATAGGAAACGTCATAAGTGAGGAAATGGATATTTCTTTCCAAATTTTGACATGAATATTAATTTTTGAAGGGCTAAAATAATAATTCAATTTAATTAATTTTGTTATTAATATTTTAAATTTAAAAATATCAGCGACGATAACTTAATTTACAGGTATCATTTTGATTTATAGCTGGACTTATGCACCATTATTTAAAAGATCTTTAATGTACGCCTCTAAAATTTATTAATATAATTAATTATTTTTAATCTTTATGTAGTATAATTGTCAATAATAAAATGTTTATTAATTACTTTAAGGCGCTGAAAATTCATATAAGCGAACGAACCAAAGAGCTCTTGAATTCGGAAGAATGGGATATTTCAGATAGAGGAACAATCCCCGTAAAGGTATGTTATATACTGAATATAGTCTATAATTTATTATTTATGAATTTTTCAAAAAAATCTATGCTACAGTCACGAGGTATGGAGTTCGAATTATCTTTTTTTTTAGAACGGATTTGAATGCGGACTCTCATGTTGGCAAGGAAGATACTTATATAATTCTATTAGTAATGCGCGCCATGACTGAGCATCACTGAACAGAAAACTTTTGTGTTTCTTGAAATATTATTATATAATTACATATTATTCTACGGCCCATTTACTAAAATTGTATTTAGAACATAATACACAAGAAATAAGAAATTAAACCCAATTTATTTTTATTATAATTCTTTGTTACTGTTTTTCACAAATGTGAAGGATGTTTTCTTCATTATTTCTTCGTTTTTACGTTTATTTCATTGTTACCATTCGTTTATACAAGTTTCTGTCACGAGAAACTAGTGGTGGATTTATTGTTTTCTATCCTTCATGACATTTGTAAGTGCTTCTTATAATTTGTAGCTTTTCTTATGTAATTACAAATTTCTATTCATTTTTTATGTTTTCCCATTCCCTATATCTGCTCAGTACCTTCTCTCCTCTTTCTTATCTTCTCTCTCTCTTATTCTCTCACTCTTTTCCTTGTTTTCAGTATTAGACTACCCTTTGAATACCTATTAATAATGATATTACACTACATTCCATTATTTTACGTTAGGCTAATGATATTTTTCCAAAATTTATGCAGAATTTATTTAATAAAATTGAATTTATCTATAAGTAATTAAACTAAATTGCGCGAGTAAAATGTATCTTTTTATTCCATTGAANTTAAAGAATAAAAATTGTCTCCAAACTACAAAAAATTCCTCTTTTTTTTAAAGGAAATTTTAATAAAAATAATTAAATAAATCTTGTACTTTAAATTGTTAAATATTTAAAAATGTCAGCTATTTTTTCTTCCTCGCATTTTATAGAGTTTTAAATGAAATTTTCACTGATATTTTATAAAATATCAATTCCTGATGGTTGCTTCTTGTATTATTATTATTAATATTATTATTATTATTTTATATTTGTCTTTGTACAGTGAATTGTTGTAACCAGTTTTTGGATAAATTTTTAAAAAAATTAATTTCTTTTTTTGTTTTTATAAATTTTGCAGTTTGCAACGTGTTACACTATTACAGATGTTATATATATTGTTTCATTTGTCATGTTTGTGACTCTTGTACGTTTGGAGATTGTGTAATAAAATATTATAACTATTATTATGAATGTTTATTTTAATATCGTCATTATCATCTTTGCAAGTCCTGATACTTCTCCTCCCATTTTTGAAAGGCTGTCAGGCAGACTCTTGAGAGATGGGATCTATGAAACCCTGAGAACATGGGAAAAGACTGTTATGGGTCCTAATAGGTATAGAATCATGCCCTAACGAAGAATATAATACTGTTAGAATCTGAGAAGATGAAACCTCTGTGATGGGAAGAGACCATCACAGGCCCTAACAAAGAGGTAATTCTGTTAAGATCTGAGATGGAACCTGTGATAAACCCATAAAGATGGGAAGAGATCATCTTAGGCCCTAGCAGACGTAAAGTCTTCGTCTGTAGTGAGGTATATGACAATTTAATAATTAAAAAATCAATTTTAAAGTTGTCTGACACACATTAAAACCCCAGCAACTTGCTCCTTGTATTAAAAAATTTTCGAAAAGTTTTTAAAAATATTTTATTTAAATAAATATTCAATATATTTTTATAAAGGCTACTTAAATAATTACAAATTTTATAATTTAGTTTTAAAAAAATTAAAGAAATAAGTCAGACTTAATTAATATATAAATATAAAATATTTAAATAATAATAATAATTTTTTAATTTCAAAATTTAGGACAGAAAATTAAAAAATGGCCGTCGTTCAGAAGTGGTCGTTATTGAAGGTTCGATTATATATTGTTTTTTTTTTTTCTTTTCTTATAAGTAAATTATTATTTAGTTAGATAATGGTGAGAATTATCAATGAAATTATATCATTTTTGACCTTTTTAATAGTGAAAATCATAAGAAAATTTATATAAAGTTTCTATTTATAAATTTTCTCGTGTTTTAACATTGCTTAGAGAATTAATAACTCCTGTATTTCAGAAAAAATAGCGAATAAACCTGATTAAATTTAATTTTAAAACGATAGAAGGTTCATAAATTTAATATTCAAAAATAAAATCCATAAATATGAGGTCGAAATCGTGTAGACAGTTAAATTAGACAGCTTAATGTAGCATTTTGTTGTGGATTGGATGCGTGCTGCAAGGCACGTGAGCATTTAGATCTTGATTCATTACTCATCCACATCTCATTCTTTTGAATTTATTTAACAATTCGCATATTGTCTTGTCTGCGGGACTTAACTCATAAAATTTTCTTTCAAACTTCTCTTTAATTTCATTGAAATCATCAATTCCCTTATTACCATCGTTAGACGTTTTTGCACATTTATCTTGGTGGGGTTCTGCAATAAAAATCAATGAAAACCTTTCTTTCATTCATATCAAGAGTGTTTACAGAATACACAGGGTAAATAACCTGTATATAACGATAATTATTATAAATGAATGCAATATTTATGAATAAAATTTTAAAAATTAATTACAGCAAACCTGTCTAAAACGGAACCTGAATAAAATGGAAACCTGCCAAAACCGAAAAAATATTTCGGTTTACACAGCTGTATACAGTGAAACCTGTGTAAACCGGAAGAGCACGATACTAAATATTTTTTCGGTTTGGCAGGTTACCATTTTAAACAGGTTTTTTTTAACACAGAAACTCACTCCGTTCCGAAAAATTTTTCACGTTTAGGCAGGTTTCCGTTTTATTCAGGTTCCGTTTTAGACAGGTTTTACTATATTAAATTTTCTTATAAATTATACTATTGTTAAGGAGTAGAGCCTACTGAAAAGTCTAGGCCGAAGAAGGGAGGGGAGTGAGGGATGAGAAATAGGAGAGGATTAATTATAATTAATTTAAAAGGTTAATTACAATTAAAAAGTATCTTTAAGTTCTAATTTTTAAATTTAATTTTCATTAGTGGCGCACCAACGATTTTACTTTAAATATATCCCATTATTAATCATTGTAATTCCCGCTCTATGCTAATTTATGTGTAGGAATTTTTTTAAATATAAATTTTTAAAATTTGTAATTTGGAGTGTGTTTTTAAAATATTTTATGACTGGTGCTGCCATCTGTTGCAGAAAATATAGATTTTCTCGCTTTAAGAGCATTAGTTATACAAATCCCCCCTTTTACGACTGATAAGAATTTTCTGTTATAAACAATAAAATGTTTTAAGTTAATTATTATAACATTTAACTGTATATTAAACGTAATAATTGTATAATATTACGCAATTAAAACTGTATATCCGGAAATATACTGTCAATTTACGGAAATGAGGACAGTTTTCTATCAACTGATTAGATCGTTAAAACGGGATTTTGTTGTTAAATAAGAATATACAATGAAATCTCTGAATGGAACGTAAAAATGGTGGTTGTTGGAAGTCCTACTTTATATTCAAATTATGTAAACGTAATTCAAATTAATACATTAGAATTATCTAAATCAGCGGTTCCCAACCTTTTTATCGCCGCGGACCGGTCACGTTTGATATTTTACCGCGGCCCACTGAGGAGGGACGTTGATTGTTTATATTTTAGATTGATTTAATTTAATAATTTTAATTTAATTGTATTTAAACATGCCTTCAAAATAAAATATAGTTACACAAAAAAATAAACGTTAAATCAATGAGAACCCTGAGCTTGTTTCTTTGCAACAAGACGGTTCCATCTGGGGGTAATAGGAGACAATGACACCCGAAGTGTTTCTTATGTCCAGTTTATTCCGTTGTTCCGTCGTCCATTAAAAGTCGCACAAAGCCGAGAGAANATGTGCTTAACACCTAAATAGAAACATAGAAACCAGTTTCTCATAATGGGACAGTTATATGGAGAGTTTTCTGGTTTCATCCACGTGCCAAATACCCATAGAAAGCCTTCTCGTGAGATACTCCCTTGGCAGATCGCCCACGTGTTGCCTTGTCTCATTCAATCGATTTAATCTACAGAAGATGAACATAACCTTAAAATTTAAAAGAAATATATAAAAAGTAATTATATATATTTTTTTCGAAAACAAATAAAAATTAAAATTAATTAAATACAAAATTGTCAAAACTGAGAGGAAGACAATTAATTGCCTCTTGGATCTTCAATCTGTTGCAATTTGTCTCTATACAGAATGACGTAACTAAAGGATGTATAATACTTTCCTCACTCCTTTATAAATTTTTATATTTGTACAAGGAGATTGGAATGGAAACTATTTTATTAAAATTAAAACTACATACAATTCATAATGTTATTACAATTATATAAAAATTTGAAAATTTATTAACATGTATAAAGAAATGTTGTACTCAAGTCAGGATGGCCGAGCGGTCCAAGGCGCTGCGTTCAGGTCGCAGTCCGGTCTTCCGGGCGTGGGTTCGAATCCCACTCCTGACAAACTATATTTTTTTCCTCTTTTTTATAATCGTTTCCTTTTTTTCTAATTATTAATTTTATAATATACTTTCCTCTGTCATAATTACAATTTTTGTATAGAATTTAACAATATTTTAATTTTAACACTAAATAATACACATTGGATATACTTAATTCCATTCTTAACAGATGGCAGCACATTTACGCACACTTTCTAACTCGATTTATATTTATCTTTTAAAACAAAATTCCAATTATTTTTTAAACTTTTATATTAGAAAAAGATAAAAAATTTTATTATTAAATTTAATAAAAATAAAATTATTAATTAATTATAAAAAGAATTACAATATTCTTTAAATTGTACGATTATAGTTTAAAATATAGTAAAACCTGTGTAAACCGGACTGAAAGAATTTTTCTTTTTGGGCAGGTTATCGTTTTAAATAAGTTTTACTGTATATAAAACAGTTTACTGATTTCTTTTATTTTTTTTCCTTTTCTTTAATTCTTCACTCTCACCTGTTGTTTTTCACCTGTTCTCTTCTCTCACTTCCTTCCATTAAGAAAAAAATTACTACAGAAACATGCTCAAAACGAAAACCTTCCTAAAGGTAAACAATTTTTCGGAATGGAACCGTTTTATATGTTTAAAAAACCTGTTTAAAGCGGGGAAAATATTCGGTGCTTTGTAATTCCGGTTTGCACAAGTTTTACTGTATTCGAAACGGAGCAATTTTTTTGTTAAAAAAAACCTGTTCAAAACGGAAACCTGCCAAGCCAGAAGAAATATTCGATACTGTGCTATACCGGTTTATATAGGTTTTACTGTACAATATAAAAAATTATTACAGTAAAACCTGTGTAAA